ATACAGACAGACAGACAGACATACAGACTTAAACAGACAGACAGAAAGACAGACAGGCAGGGAGACAGACAAACAGACAGACAGACTGTAAGGTGGTGTGGGTTGATGGTGGAAAGTCACTAGAGACAGGAATTATTGCTTAAATAAAAACTCACTGAATTTCAGAAGTCACACAAGACAAAATATCCATAGAGTGATATTTAACAATTATATGCAGGCACCCAAATGCATGTGTGTGTATTTGTGCGCGTCTGTGTGCGTGTGGATGCGTTTGCTTGGGACTGTGTGCATGCGTGTGCTTGTCTGTGTTTATGCGTGTGTGTATGTATGTGCGTGCGTGTGTATGTGCGTGCGTGTGTTTGTGTGTGCCTGCGTGTGTTTGCGTGTGCCTGCGTGTGTTTGCGTGTGCCTGCGTGTGTTTGCGTGTATGTGCGTATGACATACTTGCGTTTTTCTCCTCCTTTGTAAACATTCCTAGGGGCGCCGACTCAGTGCCTGCGCCGCCATGCAGATGAACAGTGTTGAAAAAGCCAATAAAAATGTTAAGTTTTCCCTGACCATCATGCAAATAATCTTTATTACCTCTGAACAGCTAGTAGTTGCCTCTGAGAATGAGAGACTGCGTTCATTGGAGAGATGATTTTGCTATTAACATTCAACAGCGGATGACTCGCCTTTGCAACTGCAGTAATTATATAAGGAATGCAGAAACAGGGGAACATAAATATGCGTCGTACGTGTCCTGGGTAAAGATACACGTGAAACGGCAAACAAACAAAAAATAACAGCAATGTTCTCTTACATGGAGCCACGTGCAAAATCAGACGCTGTACATACACAGATAAGTGCACACAAATACACGTAACTGCAAACATGGGTATACAAAGGCATGGTAAATGTAATTAGCTGAACCCATATACACTACATAGATTTCTATACATACTTATGCATGTACATATACCTCCATACTTGTGCGTATACAGATACCTCCTCTCCCCCCTCTTTCTGTCTGTCTCTCTCTCTCTCACACTCTCTCTCCCTCTCTCTCTCTCTCTCTCTCTCTCTCTCTCTCTCTCTCTCTCTCTCTCACACACACACACACACACACACACACACACACACACACACACACACACACACACACACACACACACACTTCCCGTACAGAGACAAACGACACGTCTCGGGAATGGCCAAGGCAAACAAAACAGACAAGACTCTGTTTGCCAACGTTTTGACGAGGAGCCGCGACATTAAGCCTGTTTGAGTGGCCATCATCGCCGCGTCGGTCCAGACCTTTTCTCGAGGTCCGTCGGGTCTTTTAGCGACTGGTCTCGGTCTGCTTTGGGAGTCGCTGCTTCGCTTAAAAGAAAGAAGGGTGTGGGGTGGGGTGGGTGGTGGTGGGAGGATTCGACATTAAGCTTTTATTTATTTTTCGTATCAGAGGATATTTTTTGTAATATTTCGTAGCAAGCTATTGGCCTTACGTGTATGGTTTTATGCCTCTGTTTATTTTTCCTATAGTTTATTCATCTATTCGGTGTTAAAATGTGTATGGCATTTTGCCGTGTGAATGGAACCTCTAATGTCGACAAACCTTATTAGTTTAGTATAATTTTCATTAAAAAAGAGAGAAAATCCAGTATTCTTTTTCTTATCAATGGGTTTAATTCATCAGAGTCTCGTATATTCATCCATTTTATCACGCCTTAGCAATAAGTTCTTACTCTCCTTTTTGGGAAACGCATAATCACATATTTACTACGATTTCTCAATTGCATTTCTCCGCTGCTATGCCTCGTAACCCCTTCCCCCCTCCCCCTTACCTCCCCTCTCCCCTCCCTGTTATTGTGACTTTATAAAGGCATTGTTCGGAGGGAGGTCAGGACAAACCTCCGAGAAATGGGCGTGTCTCGACCTTGCCCCAACTTGGGTCGACAGAGAAGGCCAAGTGTGTGTGTGTGTGTGTGTCTATGGTATTACGAATGTAAATAATGCTCCCTTGGCTCCGCCCCCTGTGTGAATTGCTGGTACATTACGAGTCAGGAGGGAGGTTACCCGTGCGTGGCGACTCTCTATTTCTTTTTCTCTTTATCGGAGACTGAAATAAGATGTGATGTTGATTCTAAACTCGCTTTGCCTAATATGGACAAAAGGATATAAACCTTTCGCCGTATAAACTTGCAGGGTATTAGGGAGGGAGAATTTTTGAAAGAGTGGGGAGGTTGTATGTATATGTATATGTATATGTTTATATATATACGCATATATATATACATACATTTATATATATATATATATATATATATATATATATATATATATATATATGTGTGTGTGTGTGTGTGTGTGTGTGTGTGTGTGTGTGTGTGTGTGTGTGTATGTCTATATGTATGTCTATATTAACATATATATTTCAACTTTTTTTTTCCTTTTTTTCTTTTTTTCTTTTCTTTTCGTTTCTTTCTTTTTTTTCCTTTTTCTCGTCTTCATCAACGTCATGAATTTCCGTTTCGCGCAACTAGGACTGATGGTGAAACAATAGACTTTTTGTTCAGGCAATTCTGAGGGTTAAACTTATCAATATAATATCCTATACGACTATTTGATCGCCATTATCTTTACTTCCGGCCGATTACTAGGTGTATATAAATATTTTTTTCAGAGATTGAAACGTGATACTAAGACAAAAAATAATCTATTAGTTGAACTTTACCTGATTACAGATCTTCATAACGAATAAGTGTACAATACATTATCATTATGCACGCGTGTACAATTTACCCCCCCACCCCTAAAAAAAAGTATAAAAAAAAATCCATTTACATACAATTTCTTTTCCTAGTATAGTCTTCAGCTTGCGCATGACGACCGTCATTGTGCTCACTCATGCCTGACCAATCCCAGGGCGTGCACGAGATCACGTGTTATCGACCGCGACCAATCAGCGTGGCGGCTGCGGTGCGGGGCTGAGCCGAAGCCATGGCCAAATAATGACGGTGCATGTCCAAACGCGTTCCATTTTTCTCGGTGAAGATAATCGTGCAACTTATCAATCCAAAGATGGCTAATTTGGCACCATAACAAGGCAGCTCCAAAGGATGGACTTTTTATTCTTGGCTTTTGCATTTAATTCCGTTAATTCCAGTATAGATAAAAGGAGGGGGAATGTAGGAGAGGGTAGTTAAGTAATATGATTTATGGGACGCGGGGGATATTTGATTTTCTTGACGGATTCAAAATATATCGTCTGGAAGACAGCACAGAAACTGTTCGGAAGGAATGTTTAATAGATATACACACATGTGCATATATACATACAAACACATACACACACACATGTAGATAGATAGATAGATAGATAGATATGAGTATATTTATAACATATATACATAGATAGTGTATGTTTGTATATATATGTACATTTTTTTTTTCATATGTGCATAAACATATGTGTACATAATATATACATCACATATATATGTATATATATATATATATATATATATATATATATATATATATATATATGTGTACATAATATATTCATCACATATATATATGTGTATACATATATTTACATATATATATATATATATATATATATATATAAATATATATATATATATATATATATATATATATATATATATATATATATATATATATATATACACATATATTCACAAAGAGTTATTATCATCAGCATAATCATTAATCATTATTGTTATTGTTATCATTATCATTATTACTATTATTATGATTATCATTATTACTATTATTATCATTATTGTTATCATTATTACTATTTTTATTATTATCATTATTATTAGTAGTAGTAGTAATAGTAGTACTTTTATCTTTATCATCATCATTATCGTTGTTATTATTAACTTTAACATTGAAATCAATTTTGTTATTATCATTATCATCATTATTGTTAGCATTGACATTGCTATCACTATATTTACTGTCACTATTACTATTATCATTATAATTTTCATTATTATTTGTTATCACTAACATTGTTATCATTATTATCACTATGATTTTTATCCCCTTTATTATTATTTATATTAATCAATTAACAGGTTATTATTCTGTTTCGTTTATAAATATAACAAAGCAATGATAGATGTAGTAGTAATAATGATAATAATAGTAATAGTGATAATAATAATTAAGTGATAATAGTAATAATAATAATGATAATGATGATAATAATAATGGTAGTAATAATGGTATTGATAATAATTATAATAATGATGATAGTAATAATAATAATAATAATAATAATAATAATAATAATAATAATAATGAAAAAAAAAATAATAACAATAACTATAATAGCAATAATCACTTTATTTGCCTTTTTTTCTTTAAATATCTGTTGATTTTTATTTCCAATATTCACTTTATTTGACTTTTTGTTTTTTTCTTTAAATTTCAATATTCTCTTTAGTTCTTTTTTTCTTAATTAATCTTATTTTTATTAATTTTAATGATTTTGATTAAGTAAAATAACTAAAATAAATATTCATTAATTCTATTTCTTCCAAAGTTCAATTTATTTTCCTCTTTTTCTTTTTTCTTTAAATTTTCATCTGATTTAAATTTCCAATAATCATTTTCTTTGTATTTTTTTCTTTTGTTTTCAATTAATTTTGATTTCCTATATTGATTTTATTTGTCCTTTTTTTCTTTAAAATTCAATTGAATTTTTATTTTCAATATTCACTCTATTTGACTTTTTTTCTTTTTTCTTTAAACTTCAGTTAATTTTTATTTCAAATATTCAGTTTATTTGACTTTTTTTTTATTTCAATATTCACTTTTTTCTTTAGTTTTTCAATTGAATTTTTATTTCCAATATTCACTCTATTTGACTTTTTTTTTTCTTTTTTCTTTAAACTTCAGTTAATTTTTATTTCCAATATTCAGTTTATTTGACTTTTTTTTTTGTTCAATATTCACTTTTTTTCTTTCTTTTTTCCATAAAGATTCGTCGGTCAAGAAAACGCCTGTCAGTCTGAGATGATCTTAAGAAAATGTTAAGCAAGATTATGTACTAAGAGAGTAAGTGGAATAAACAGGGAAATAAGGGAATAGTAATAATTGAAGAGGAGAGGGGAGTAGAAGAAGAAGAAGGAGAACAATTATATGTAGAAAAACACAAAAGAGTAATAGCAAGAAAGAAGAGAAGAGGAGGAAGACGAAACAGGAAACGAAAAAAAAAGAAAATACAAGGAAAAAGGAAGAATTAGAACACACACACACAAAAATAAATAAATAAAACAACGGACTCAAGAAACCCATTCCTCCTCCCCTCCCCGTCCCCCTCCTCCTTCCCCCTTTCCCCCCCTCCCCCTTCCCTCTCCCCCCTCTCCCTCTTCCTCCTCCCCCTCCCCCTCCCCCCCTCCCCCCTCCTCCATCGGGCGCCCCAGCAGACCATGAGGACCCGTCGGGCTCCGTGAACCCCGGCAGGTGATGTGAAGGGCATGGGACTACCCGGAGCGGGCACGGGGGCTGCCCTGGGGTCACGGTGGCACCGAGAGCCACGATGGCCTTGGCTCAGCTGCTGCTCATGAACCACTTCCTCGCCGGCGTGTCGCTCCTGGCCGCCGACCCGCCGCTCTTCGCCAACATCAACGACATCAACAGTGAGTAGGCGGGCTCTGTGGGCGTGTGGGGGGGGAGGGGGTGATGGTGGTGGAGGGGGCATTGTGTGTGGGTGTGGGGGATGGAGGTGGGAAGTATGGAGGGGGGTAGTGTGTGTGTACGTGTGCGTGTGTGTGTGTGTTGTCTCTCTTTCTTTCATTCTTTTCCTCTGTGTGTCTGTCTGTCTGTCTCTCTCTTTCTCTCTCTCTCTCTCTCTCTCTCTCTCTCTCTCTCTCTCTCTCTCTCTCTCTCTCTTTCTCTCTCTCTCTGTCTCTCTCTCTGTCTCTCTCTCTCTCTCATTATCATTATGATAATTATTATCATTAGTTTCTTTTACTATAAGTGTCTTAATCATTACTATTATTATCAATATATTCTTTATTATAGCTATTACTGTTATGATTATCACTATGTCTATTATGAAGCGACGGGAAAGTCGACATTTTTTTAACATTACCAATTTTGTCAGGCGTTTTTTTTTTCGAAGAAATAAAGAAAAAAAACTTTCCTTTTCTTCATAAAGCATAAGAGCATTCAAAACGTAATATGAAAAGCAACGATGATAAAACTACAATATATATATATAAAACGAAATACCGAAATTCGAAATGAACAGCTATTACAAATCATTAAAAAAATATGTATTTGAAAAGTACCCATTCACACACACAAAAATAGGAAACACAATAAACCACACAAAACATATTCGAGATCTGCTTGCCCAATTCTTTTTTTTTTTACATTCTCAATCCCTTCGACATATCCGCCCCCCTCCCCCTCCCCCGTACGTAATTTTTTTAGGCCAAGAAAAAAGAAAGAAAAAGAAAAAAAAAAAAAAATACGAATCTGTAGTCTGTACAAGCTTCGTTCATCTAATTTGTAATATATTATTCCTTGAAGTTGTGTCTCCAAGGTATAAGCTTGAGAACAGAACTGAGGATTAGTGTTCTCTCCATGGCTTCTCTTCCCCACCGGTTTGGCAACACTGCTCTGCTTCAGTCTTTAGGAAATACAAGTTGCTATATGAGATTAGTCGCCGTAATGAATGGCAGAGTCCGGAAATGGAAGTTTTTATTATTTGCTGACGTTGCTTTTGGATTTCTGTTCATGAATATGTGGCTTGTGGATGCGCTCGTAAAGGACTGAGAGGAAGTCTTCTTACAAGGGTCTTTTAACTCATTTCATTTACCGTTATTTGATACCATTATCCCCATGGTGAAGATCATCCCCCACCCCTACCTCCAGCACCGTAGCTAGGTCTCGAACCCGTGAGCTTGGAGACTCTCCTGGTCCCTTGTCGTGCACGTTACCCTCCCCACCCCTCAAAAAAGAAAGAAAAAAAGAAGGGAAAATAAGAAATAAGCAAAATAAATAAATAAATATATAAAAAATGGACTTTAGAAACACCCCCTCCTCCCTCTCCCTCTCTGCCCTTTTCCCCTCCTCCTCTGCGACCGAAATAGCAGACGAAACACACCTAGCTATTAACACTCCTAGTTATTAATCCGAACATGCGTTAAATCCCTACTCTCCTTCGTGTTAGAATCCTCGAAGGACAGACTGCGAGGGCGTGGCTGGAGGGTCATCATAGCGTCTCTTGCAGACTACGTGTCAGATAAAACCTTTCGTGTGTTTAGCAAGCGAATTTGGAATCATGTTGCAGAAAACGAGCGGTAATATTCATCCTTCAGGGTAGAGAGAAAGGTGTAAAATTTTGGTGACTATAAGGATCTTTTTCTTAATAAAGTTTAAGAGGTACTTGATAGGCTGACGATGAGTGACTGATTGCAACATGAATAACTTCGTTGCATTTCGGACAATGATCATCACGACCAAGTAGAT